TGGGGGACAACATCAAAAGCCTTTTGGAAATCTAAGTAGATGACATCATAGGCCTTCTTATCATCAACTTCCTGAGTAGCTTCCTCAAAAAACTCCAACAAAAAACTCCATTTGTTAAACAGGATCTACCTCTCCTAAATCCATGCTGGATTAATCAGATGTAGGTCTGTGAATGGTGATTGTTTTCTTCCTTACCTTTCCAGATGTTACCCCACAGGATAGTGACGTACTTGTCACGGTCGGCGCGTGACTGCTCGTGCACAAAGCCCAGGGCGTGCATGAGCTCGTGACTCGTCACCCCCGTTGTAACACATTCCGGGGCCTGTAAGGAGACAATCTGTGGCCCACCGTGAAATCCCAGGTACGACCAGCATCTGTAACACACAACACACACACATGCACAGTCAAGGCATATTGGGTATAGTTCACCATTGCACATGAAACTTTTTGAAGGTTCTTGAATTTCTTTCTTTGAAAAAACAGCCACAATTATCCTCGGAGGAAAATATTGGCATCTCAGTTCCAGAATGCAATAGCATTATTTGGTAACTGACCCTGACTTGGGCTGGATATCCAGATAGTCGTTCTGGTGTGTCTGGGGCACAAAGCGAATACAGGTGCCATTCTCAATGGCCTCCATTCCTTCCTGGATTGTCATAAGGTCCAGGTCATCTGTGGTGAGGGGATGGAGGAACATGGAAGATTAAGGAACTAAACATTCACATTTCACTATGTGAATTTCTGCACAAAGACCCAAGGAGAACCAGAAGACACTGCTGATTCCAGTTGGAAAGCTGGCAGTGACACTCACTGTACTCTGGGGACAGTGTGTAAGCGATGTACACGTTCCCGTCCACTGACTTGGGCCACAAGCAGCTCCGGGCAAAGCAGCTCCTGGAGCCTCTCTTGTTGGACACAGCAATGTCACCCTCCCTGAAGCCACTGCCCTCTGCTGGGGTGGATGTGCGGTGCAGGACAGGGGACACACATTAATATACTGAGATGCTACCTGCCTGAGTTAAATTTATAAGGAACATCTCATTTTAGGTGTAGATGTAATGCAAGACATTCAAACTGTTCTTACCTTGATATTCATTTGCCCTCATGATTTTGTCCATCGCTGTCATCTCATTTTGAGGCATGAACTCTTCTATAAAAGTAAAAACAATTAATTTCACACACACACACGCCCATATATTCATATAATGCTTGAACGTGGTGACCTTATTCATATGAAATGTGCATTGATTGCACACATTTGACAAACCTGACAGTTCCCGTTGGAACCTCTTCTTGCTGCTGTTTGTCCCCGGAATATTCTTTAAGGATAAGGAAACAAACCATGCATATAACATAGTGCCACAAACATACATATTTAAGGTGAAGTGTAAGCTAGTTAAGCACTGATCAGACTTACCTGAAGAGGAACGGCCCAGGTGTGAGCCACCACACACAGGATAAGGACGATCAATGTCGGGGTCATTTCGGATCTCCAGCCAGGTATCTGTCTCACCCTGCTGCAGTTCTCCCATCCCTTTTATTCTCTACCCAGCACTCCATGTAAACGGTCATCAATAGTCAAATGGGTAGGTAGAAATGGCCAACCCAGTACTTGACAGCATCCAACACTTTGCCAGATTAGCTATTGCTGCAAATGACGTTGACCAGTGTAGAAAGCAGCGCCCTCAGCTATCCTCTGCACCATGCTAACAGACTGTGACAACAAGCTGCAGCGGTGGCCGTAGGGTACACTACAATCTATGGCTTATGTTGGTACCTTCAATGTCACAACCTGGTTTTATGGTACTCTAATGGTCATAGCGCTGCACTCCAGGATCTCTGCTTTTTTTCCTCTAATAATGGTTGTGTCCAGTTCGAATAATATTTGTTTTCACATTGTATATATTTTCAATAAATCGTAAGTGAGGTTCACCATGGCAAATACAAACAAATTCTGTGCACATCAACTGTAATTAGGGAATTTGACGCTTTAAAGGTAATACTAGAGTCTAGTGTCTCATTCAGGCAATTGACGCTGTGTTATTACATATTTTTCTATAATTTCGTCAGTTGGGAAGAAAAAAAAATCGGTGATACATGCAAAGCGGAAAACGAGAACCGCCCGAACAGGGACTTGAACCCTGGACCCTCAGATTAAAAGTCTGATGCTCTACCGACTGAGCTATCCGGGCTCTGACACAAGCGTTGGATTTCCTTCTTATCAAACAAATTTATATATATAAAAACAACATAATTTTTATTGTATAACTATAATACTTCATTCAGAAATCATTATTTGTCATAACATAACACAATTCTAATAACAATGGTAGTAATACTGTAACGATTACTTAGCTTTATAAACCACGCGAATTTGTGTATTTTTACAATAGCTTTAATTATTTGCAAGCCGTTGAAGACTTATATTCAGAAACGTATTATTTGATGACGACATTGTTAATTTATGTTGCCCGCACTGAGGAGTAGCTCGCTAATTTAGTAACCGATAATCATTCGTATGCATCGTGTTCAGGGGTCAACATCACGGCAAATTCTGGCGGACATTGTCATCAAAATGCTTTTTTTATACCATGGCCATCGTATTTAAAAACGTACCCTACATAGCTTTTCTCTAACCTTTTTTTGTCTTGCCATGGGCACATTTTTCCGTGTACAAATAGGTTGACCATCCATGATCATTTTCCTAAAGCACATTTTAGCTATTTGCTGATAAATATGCGACATTCTCTACGCCAGAGCTAAGCATCATCGAGCAGCACCGCAAATGCAGCTTGAACTACAGTAGCGTAACCAATTCATTCCATACGAATCTGTCAAATAAAATATGTAATTATATATTCCATTATACATATTCTATATAACAAAACTGTCTCGCACTTTTGGATACAGACTCTTTCATACATGTCTGCCTATCTGCATTATACACAATGACGTTGGTGGAAAAAGCTGGTAATGAAAACAACGAGCCATCAAAAGAGTTGGGGTCTCCTAAAACTTGCCGAGCGGGGACTGGGGATCGAGTCCTTTGAAATAAATGATGCCGACAGAATACAGAACGGCACATCGTCATGAGGTTTCAGGGCATGCCATTCCGAGAAACTGTGACGTGACACCTATATACTACTTTCAACATGCGTATACAGGAGAGCCCCCCCCCCCCACCCCCACCCCGAATTAAAATAAAGTTTCTAATTAAAAAAGTAACGCAGATCCCGTCGTCCCAGAGTAGGATTGTTGTTTATTATTTTTATTTTTTATGTATGTATTTTTTATTTTAACTAGGAATACAAGTACACGACACTAAGCATAATCATATAAGAGTAGGATTGTTAATTCTATACGAAGCGTGAACGCGCAAAATAATGACGTTCGTGTAACAACTCATTCTTAAATGTAATTCAAAGTATGCGCGTTTATATTTCACTTTAAAATATATAGATTGTTAACAGAAGCTTTATTCTGCCTTATGTCTAATGAATGTGTAGTTGAAATTATGTTGTTGTTTCAGGGACGGATTACTGACCGGGCCAGCGGGGCCGCTGCCCAGGGGCCCTTGGGGTGCAGGGGGCCCGTGGGGTCCCCAGCCCAAAACAATTTGCAACTCTTATCAACAATGTATTTTCGTTTGTCTATTTTAGAGGGCCTACATTCTTTGATCCTCTGCCTACAAGGGCCCCTGACCCTATAGGGCCTCTGGTGGAAACATGGAGGGAGGGCGTTTGGCTGCCAAGGGCCCTTGAATTGTGGTGGTTGTGGTGCTGGTGGTGGTGGTTGGGGGCCTCGCGAACGTTTTGCCTAGGGGTCCACACAACCCATAATCCGTCCCTGGTTGTTTACACTTTGTAGAAGAAAAATAAAAATAGAAACACACCACAGTGAATATCGACATGACCGTTTCCTTCGTCGCCAGTCCCTGCTTGGATGACGTAGAGATAATTAAATACTTTGCATTATTACATCGTAACTGCTCCCGTCTTATGTAGGGTACGGGACCTAGAAGACTCAGCTGCCGAGGATGGAGGAGATCGGAAGTGAAGCACTGCGTGAGCACTAAGGAGGGGCTCCAGGGCCAAATGCCCAGCAATCACAGGGGACGCCTGGAAGTACATCCGACAAAACAGCACAGGATGAGGCCATGCGAGTCACCTTCTCACCCGAACCCGCCGTACAGACAAGGAAGCCAGGAAGCAAGTGGTACGAAAGATGTTTCCGGTCATCCTGGGCGCATGAGGCCAGCAAAGAAAAGTAAAACTCATTTCAAAAAAGGAAAATATAGTACTATGAAATATATAAAGTATTTTGCTGTCAAGTTAATAAAAATATAAATATTCAGCCATCCATCATAATTCTGGAGCCTAGCACCAGTTAGAAGTCCGTTGTAGGGAAATAAAGGTAGCAGTAAATATTTATTATAGAAATATGTATTCATGGCAACACTAACACTATATAATATTAATTTGTATTAAATAGGATGTCATCATCTGACTGAGGGTCACCCTGGACACAAGGGCCAGTCTTTAGCTTGGAGGGGGGGGGGCAGATGCCCAGTCCAGGGGTTTCCCAAAACAGGTGCAAGATATAATCCATACAGTGTTCCTGGTCTGGGCCTATTTGAAAGTTACCCAGGAGTAACCAGACTACTCTGCCTGGAACAAGTGTACTGGGACTCACGGAACCCAGCTGGGCGCAAAATGGCTACATGTCGCCATCTTCTGGACTTAAGGTAGAGGTCAAGTGCATAGCCATTTAGGGTAATGCGCAGACACGTCACACTTTAATAAAGACAAAGTAATTAAAAGGGTCTGCTTAGTAAACTTACAATTTATTAATGGATTTACAGCTGTACAAAACGAGTAATATAAATAATTCAAATCTATAAAAAAACAACAAATGCATATATGCGCAGTTCTGTTGGAACTGACATTTGATGCCTTAAAAGCGTATTTGAATCAGGCTGATGGGAATCACTAACTGCCAAGGTTGCAGCCGCGCGTTTCATCTGGAAAATAAATGGGTTTCGCCACAACGGGAACCTTAAAAAGCGGGGGTTTTCACAGAAAGGCCTTTGAACACTCATTTTAAGCAGTTTAGGAAAAGCATGAAAAAACACAAACCTAAGAGTAGTCCAGATAGTCGTAAGCCTACAAGACGACAGTATTTTTCGAACAGTTCCCATATACACAACTCATGAAATTATTTAATTGTTCCCATTTTCCCATAATTCCTTGTAACTTTGTAGAATATTTATTACTTTGTGTGCTTATGCTTCTCGTTGTATTTGCTCGGTTCTCTCCACACAATAGCTATACCACAGAACTTCTTTAGGTATTTTAAATGTCCTAATTAAATACCCCAGATATCATGACAAGTAGGCTGGGCTTAATGTGCCGCACAACAGCTTCTTGTTATCTATCTAAATTACATGAAGTACATTTTTATTGAAATGTGGCAAACAGAAAATATAAAGTCTGTTTTTAGGGATGACCTTATGCACTTTTTTACCACGATGCATTATGATCATATGGTTTGATTGCAACAATTATGGCTAATCTGGGTTTGCCAGTTTTTGTTTTATATGTTAAGATGTGTTGGGGTGGATTCATACACTTCAGTTTAGCTCAGTGATTTGAGTTTGCAGTGAGCATTTTGTATTTTTGTGTTTGTTTCTCTGGAATATATTTTTGTTACTTGTATAAATACTTGCACACCCTCTATAAATGTTGTTTCTTACAATGAAAAACCTGAAAGATATTTAGAGAAAAATGAGCGAATGTGCATTCTGCTAGCAACATGTGTCTCCATAAAACACCATGACCTGCCTGACAGTCTTAGTATTTTAAATAGAGATGCAAACAAAGCTATCAATATGAAACAACTTTAAGTTGAATAAATAACTGTAGTGGTTTTCAAATCAGCACTATCTTTAAAATTTGGAGAAATAATGACACAGGCCCACAAACAACAGCAAAATCAGTCTAAGATCAGCGGACTAATATGAACAGTACATGCTGAATTCACAAGGTTTTTTATGAACATTATATATTTTTACAATTATTTGCCATTGGCAAAGTTTGTCTTCATGTCATTCCTGACCTTCCCTGCTGTCCTTTTTTGAAAATAAAAATCTTTCCAGAGATATTTCATCAAAGTGCAAAAAAGCGGGACAAACACACCAGTCAGTGAGAATAACTAGTAGTAAGGAGTTTCGTCAGTGTGACAGAGCGCCAGTTGGTAAAATGCACACACGCACACACACGTGCACACACACACACACGTGCACACACGCAAACACAGACACGCACACACACACGCGCACACAGACACACACACAAACGCACACACACACACACAGACATGCGCGCGCACACACACACACACGCACAGACACACGCACATACCTCCACATAAACCTCCCCTGCACCTGACTCTCCATCATGTCAAAGGTAAAGGTCCCATCCCACATTACTGACAGTATTTAAATCCTACATTCACCAGAATCTGCAGTCTACTGTGCTGTTTCTTTAAATATTTATGTTATATGTTTTTTTTGTAATGTTTTCAGGACATCCGGTCAAAGCTCCTTCACTAAAGAGGGCAGCATTAAAAATTGCACAGCCGTTCGTGTGGGAGAAGTTTCTGGGTTGCAGGTTAACAGATCTCATTGCGCTCTCCTCTGACCCTTTCCAAGGTCTTAAAAAAAATGGTCAGTTTCCTCTTCCTCTTGGCTAAAACGGCCGGGCATTAATCCAGGTAGGTGTGGTACTGGCCTTCTGCTTCTCCACAGGATGTTTTATTATGATGTAAAGTCTGTCTCATGAGGCTAGAGAATGTCGCACACAGAGAGGCACTGCGACATCCTTGGTTCAGTGCAAGCGTTTGTCTCAGGTGAAGCTCCATGTGTCAGTTCTGGGGAAGGGCGCAGAACCCATGAGCAACAATCAGTGATGTATATGGGTTATGTCACCTGTAATGACAGAGGGACAACCAAGGCTTACAAAACCGAGCTTAAATTAACGTTATTTTGGTATTTACCTGTCCTTGTGGTAAATAGTCCAGTATAAAAGTCACAGATATAAAATTCAGAAGCTCACGATGGGTGGTGTTGGGTTTAACTGCCTGGTTTAAGCTATTGTCAATCAATAAGGTAACCAATAGGAACTAGTTCAATGCACATGGTGATGACGAAGCTCAATAACCCCACCCACTGAAGCGTTCCCATTCTGTAAGCATATTCCATGGTTTGAACTAGAACTGGTGACCATTGCTAGATCTGATTTAAGTGTCACCTTGGGCCCATTTTCCCAGTCCCCCCCCCCCCTGCGGCACAGACCTTCTGGATGTGTGGTGGCAGCTCATCCTCCTCCGGTACCGGGTCGTGGTGCCGGCCTGCTTGGGCCTCCTCGGCCCAGCCGCCCATGGGTATCCGGGGAAGCCTCGGCGCCGACCGGAGGCCCCCGCTCACAGACTCTGAGGGACGAGACAGCAGGGCTATCGCACTTCTGAGGCAAGATTCCTCTCCAAGGATCCAAAATGCAATCAATTCCCTTTGAAACATCTACTGTCTACAGCCCCTGGCCCCAAATACCTGCTTGGTTCACTGATTTTAATAACAGCTGTTAATTAATTAGGCTTCAGCAAGCTTTTGGATGGTTCTGGATGCCACCACCACAATGAACTGTCTAAGCAGTTGTACTTGTGGGAAAAGCATCCAAACTCCACACACAGAGCCAGTCATGATGATGCCACTAAACGAAAGTGACGCCCAAACACTTTTTTAAAAGAGCCATGAAAAAGTAAGAACTAATTAATGAGGAAGCGGGAATGACAACTAGCATAACTTGCATGGCTGAGGACTGCTATCCTGGAGTCGTTTCAAGATAGGTGATTGCCAGATCAATGAATTATATCGCTATTCGCTGCCTTTTATCTACAAGAAGGGGAAGGAGGGGGCCATACCAGTGGTTCCACCATAGCGGCGCTGACCGGTGTTGTGCAGCATCGCCCCCTCTTGGTGGGGTGTGGTAGCACAAGGGAAGGTGTTGGACCGGGGAAAGTTGCGCAGTCCTTCATTGTCGTCGGGAGCACCCTCGCTGCTCTCGTCGCTGTCCCGCCTGTGCCACGTGTGACGGGACAGCTGCCCCCGTGACTGCTGCTTGTGGAGCTGCGTGTCACAGCAGAGGGAACGTACATACGTGGCACAGCTTCAGGTACGGTTCGTCTGGGCGATCGGTGCAGCTCTTGAACAAAGCAGTGCATTGTGGGAGTCCATACCTCATGGATGTAGAGGGCGTGGATGCTCATTTCAGTGGATGCATATTCTGATAGGACCATGCTGTTCAGCTGGCCCTCCCAGGCGCTGCTGCCAGAGCTTGCAGTGCGGGCATCAGCTCTGTGCAACCAAGAGAAGATGAGAGAAATCAAAATGGGAAACAAAATAATTCCTCTACTGGGGCACAAAGTAATTAAGTATCTGCAGTGATAACTAAAAACTCCATACTGACAACTATTGTACTGGCTAAAGCTTTCTGTCTTTCCCTGCCCCACAGATCAAGGTAGATGGTTAAAAGATGCAGGGATGGATGGATAGATGTATGGATGGATGTCTTTGATAGAAATAGAGGAAAAGTCCCTAAACTCATAGCATTAAAATCAAATGAGACATTTTGCTGTGTGTCAGGAATGCAAAGCTCTCACCCGGACCCGGCCATGGCTCTGCCCCCCACCAGGGCGGCGCCGTCACCACGGGGCAGGCGGGTGGAGGCGAAGCTGCCTCGCAGGTGCTGGCTGCCACTGAGAGGAGAGAAAGAGCGCAGGGCGGAGGTCCCCTCCATGAGGCCCACGTCCACCGCGTGGTTGCTCACCGAAGCGTCCCGGCCCAGATGGAGAGACCCCAGAGGGGGGGGGCCGGCGAGGAGGTTGGCGATCAGGCTGTGGGGCTGAAGCAAGATGTAAGAGGCGTGGTTACCATCAGGGAGAGCCTGACAGCTTATTGCAGGAATAGCTGCGACAGAGCTTGTGTTTAAACAGAGGGTGGATACTACTATATATACGGCATAACAGTGACCAATAGCCTAAAGCGGGAGGCATCATCAGCCAATCAAGAGACAGCAGCGACCTCCACCCGCCACCCCCCAAAAGCACCCCATCCTCCGCACCTCCGACTCAGACTGCGTGGAGGTGAGGATGTGGTTCTCGTGGAGGACGCCCTGCTGGCCACAGGCAGCCTCCCGCTGCACCTTCTCCTTCAGCTGGCTGATGAAGGTCGTGCTCTCGCGGGGCGGCTGCCAGCGAGGGTTGGTGATGGCAAAGTGCATGAGCGACAGCTCGGTCTTGCCGTCCTCTGCCTGCTGGTAGATGGAGGCCTCCGTTCTCCCCGCCGACATCCACTGCCAGGCGGAATGAGACTCTCTCAATAGGGTAACCATGGCAACCAGCAAAAATAGACACTTTGATTGTACCTTAATGGATCTGAACTATTAGGTCGATGTTGAGCACCCAATTTAAGTGCATTCTGAAGACTGTAAAAAAAATACACCTCTTAGGAAGTGATTATTAATTACAGTACAGCATAAGCCAAGTGCTGAAAGTAGTGCAGCAGAGCTGTGTAAGGAAACGTAGTTTATAGTTCATAATTTACAGCTGAGTCTGAGTAAAGCGTGCCGCCGTGGCCTCACCGCGGGGTGCCCATGTTGACGGACGTCCATCTGGGCGAAGGAGCACGTGTCGCCCACGCCCACCACCTCCACGGTGAAGTTGCGGAAGAAGTCGATGATCTCCAGGGACTTGCGGCGGAGGCAGAAGATGAGGATGAAGGGTGTGATCACGGGACTTAGAAGCTCCTCCAGGATGAACACCTGCATGGGCGAAAGTGCTAAGTGCCAAACTCTAGACGCTAAATTCAGAGAAAATTATAATTCCAGCGCTAACAATCTCATATGAATGTGAGATCACATCCATAAGTAACAAATAAGGAGTGGGCTGAACCTGCTTTAATATTTTTTTTTCTTTGCTTTAATCAGATGGTAATTCTAGAATTGTGACTTTATAAAACATCTCTGATATCTCCAGGAGGGCTGTGGACCTCAGGTTAAAAACTCCTGCTCAAAATGTTGGAATTTTCTTGGCATATTGAATGAGTGACTCACGGCCTTGTACTGGAACAGCTGGGCAAACTCATCCCTGGTCTCATAGCGGTGGGCGTTGCCTTGCCAGTGGTCCGGCATGTAGTGGATGTGTGCCAGAATGACTTTGAGCAGCTGCTCTGGGCAGAAGACCAGATGTTTGTCTGGGATGAAGGAGCTACAGAGGAGGGCGAGAGGCTGGACATGAAACAAAGGGCTCCCACACACCTGAACATCTCAGCAGATCAAGAACAACACAGAGCAGGAAAGAAAATAAGCATTTATGAAGGCACCTATTGTGACGCTTGGCCACACCTATAGTACCAGTCAAAAGTCTGGACACACCTACCCATAGAAGGGTTTATTTGTACTATTGTCTACATTTTAGAATAATTATAAAGACATAAAAACTATAGAATAACATATATGGAATTATGCATTAACCAACAAAAGTGTTAAAAAAATGTTTTGGGGGGGGGCTCTGTGGGTTCGGATTCAGAAGGTTGTTGGTTCAAATCCCGGAGTCGGCAGAGTGATCCCAGCATTGGGCCCCTGAGCAAGGCCCTTAACCCCAATTGCTCCAGACTGGCTGACCCTACTATCTCCTCTACACCAGTTCCATGAGGTGGCCTCCTGGGATGCTTTTCCAGCTGTCCTGAAGGAGGTCCCACATATACTGATGCTTTCTTGGTCAGAAATTTCAACTGGAACGCCCCCTGAAGTCGGAGGATTCTACACAACCCTGACCTCAGAATTCAAGATGGTTGCGCCCTTCATCAACAGAAGCTAAAGCTGTAGTTATATACTGTTTATTGTGGCTCATTAAATCGGTCGTACACACAGTACTGTCCAGCCTCTATCTGTGGACATGTTGCTACAGTGTTTTTATGAGTGAAATACCGCACAATGTGTTGTTATCAGCTGATATTGCTACCAATGGCTAATGGCTAGAACTGGAGCAGGTTTCAGAAAACAGGATTTCTTGCTTAGCCAGATAATTTAAGGTAGTTTGGGCTAAACGGAAGTGAATAAAGATAAATGCCATTTATACTGGGGTACCTTAAATCTGACAAGTTATCCGGCTCAGCAAGAAATCCTGTTTTTCGAAACAGGTCCCTGGTATTGCTAAATGGCTTTCCGAATTGCTGTACTGGAACGTGGTTAACTCATATGTGTGACATCATTCCCAGTTCCAACTTCCGACCTCCAAGAATAATGGAACAACAGCACAAGCACTCACTGGCCGCTTTTCCTTCACCCTCTGGTCAAACTCCTCCAAAACCATTTATACTCTGCTTAGGTCAGGTGGTCTGGTCATATCATGTGACACTATCACTCTCCTTTATAGGTAACTTGGCATGTCCAAACTTTTGACTGGCATCGTACATTTCCTAAACCACTTTTGGCCAGTTGCGGTCCTCACCGGCAGACAGTGATGCAGACCCCCAGGAGGGTGATGCTGGTGAGGACGTGCTCTACAGCCAGAACGTCCTCGTCGTAGATGGTGAGGGCGATGAGCACCGCCAGGATGGAGCCGGCGAAGAAGACGACGTTCTTGGCGACCACCGTGAGCAGCGGCGACATGAAGCAGTTCATGTACTTGGAAGAGGCCTTGTAGCCCTTGCTGAGGCGGGACATGAGCTCGTGGTCCAGCTCGTTGAAGTGCCGCAAGTAGAAGCGGCCGTAGAGCGACCAGCAGCGGGCTCCCAGGCTGCCCGGCTCTCGCTTGATTACCTCCGTGTAGCTGAAGAAGGCGTAGAGGATCTGCCAGATGAGGATTACGGGGCACAGCAGCAGGTTGGCGATGCCGATCCACAGGATGCGTGAGCTCAGTCTGTCGGCCAGCTCCAGCCGGCTGCCGCCCCGCTTGTACTCCGTCTTCAGGCTCCACTCGTTCTCGAAAAGCGAGCTGGGGCCCCAAAAGAAGATCAGCTCAAAGTTGTACTTGAGCCCACGTGTGTAAAAGACGACGTCACCTAGGAAGGGCAGGCGGGAGCGGATGGGCAGCAGGGACTTGTTGATCATGGCCACCATGTAGTTCTTGAACCGCAGTATGCGATGGTAGATGTCCAACTCCGTTAGCTCCTTCTTGTGGATGCAGATCTGGTGCTCCTTCTGGATCTCCACGATGCGTGCCTGCACCTCCTGCCATGTAAAGTACGGGAGGTCGGCCTGTGGTGGGAGAGTAAATCAGATCATTCATGTCCCAGTAGTTCATGTTTTGTTGCTCATTGTTGACAAAAACTTTGCCAACGGTAAGAACATCTGAGAATGACCACATGGGTAATTTGCGGGGACGTATGTGTGTACGGCCCTTTTTCCTCTTGTATGAGATGCTGAGTCCTTTTCGATCCCCCCACCCGCCTACAATTCGCAAATTTAACCAAGGGGGATCACCCCCCAAGTCGAACGTCTGCCCTTCTCTGCAAGTCCTTGGTTATTTGAAACAAAATGAAAGGTGGGAGAAAAAAATGTGACATGGGACGCCGGAGAGGCGAAGAGAGACATCTCTCACCATAGACAACTTCAGAGCGTTGATGTAGAAGGAGCGGATCTCCCAATAGCAGCAGATGTTGTATATGAATTTGACAAGTCGGTGGAGCCAGAAGACTCCGGAGATGACGAGGATGAAGATGACAAACACGTTGTCGCGAATCCTGGGAGAGCGAAATTTAAATATATGAGGAGTTTGAGGTATAAAAAGAAAGAACAAAGATAGGAGAGACTTTCTCTGGGATTGCGTGAGCTCACCTGGCACTACAGACGTCCACAGGCAGAAAAGCATCTGGAAGTGTCACCTTCGCCGAGTCAGTGTGGTTCACCAATTTGTTGGCAAACAAGATGTCGTAGTCCACGCAATTTGCCAAAAACACAGTGAAAGCAACGACAAATACCAATTGCCTGCAGAATGAGAATAAAAAGGCCCAAATTTAGGGTTATTACTTCCTCCCAGAGAGGTTGTAAAGTCACACTAACATTCTACAAGAAGAAAACAAAGGACCCCAAAATGGAAGTCAGCGTTCTATATTTACACAGAAAAAGGACTGGATCACTTCCACAGAGCATTACCATCTTCTTCATGAGCTGGACTTAGCGTCAAATATCTGCCATACTTACACAAGCTCAAATATTTCCCCCAGCAGCATACATGTGAAGCCATTTTTCTGATGCAAATTATATATGTGAGGAAGGTTAAGTCAAGAACACTTGTCAGCCAGTTACAGTCATCGCGACATAACTAGCTACTCCCTTTCACTGATATAGTCTGAGCCAAAAATGTATACTGCAGTTTCATATCTACCAAACAGACATGCAGACAACCTTAATAATTAATTAGTAAAAAAATGTTTTGGATAAGACGGTCTTTGACAACTGAAAGGATATTCTCTGGAAGAAAAGGTCCAGATTCTCTATATGATGCCACTGGGCTGAAGAATTGAAACACAGGATAAAAGCAGAAGTTAGCAGAGGAGATGCATTATACAAAATGTGGAAAAAATACGTTAATTATATTCTAGTGCTTTAATTGGGAAAAACAGGTGCTGGTACCCCCTTGTTATTCAGTACCAGCAGATACTAAGAGGTGCCAGCGCTCTGAGGAGAAAAGCAATGAGGTGCTGGCACCGCATACCGCTGAGTACTGGCCCACTTCAAGCACTGTAATAATCTAATTAATTACAGTATTTGAACGTACTACGCCTAGATAACGTCGAAGTCCCAAACAGCACCACCTACCGTCAGAAGCTGAGTAAAGCATAACTTAGGAAAGAAAATTACGGCGATGTAGCCGCGACCTGGACGGGAAAAGCGGGTATGGAAAATGGATGGATGGATGGAAAAGCCAAACCACTATGCACTGTTGTAGCTCTTTCCAGCGAAACTGGGTAACTTTACAAAAATAGGAAAACCACAGGAGGTTAAGATGGGGGGTGAATGGGGGGTGCGGTTAAAAAAGGAGTCTCACATTTAGATCCCTCTGGCACATGTACCAGCAGGTTCTCCTCTCCGGGCGGGGAGTCATTGTAGGAGGCCTCCAGACGTTGGTATTCTGTGTCAAAGTGAGCCATGCCGTAGCACCCTCCAGCATCCTCCGTCACACGATCCCGGCAGATGACCGCACAAATCAGACGGCAGTGAAGGATGAGCTTTGGAAACGGAAACAAGTGGGCGGAGGGTCGCTTTCCAAACACCGGTGAGGCATGCCCAGAAAGCAAAAGCAAAAAACTCCAACTTCCAATAATAAGTCTGCGCTGTCAGCTTTCATCGCCTATTGCCTTTAATCAGCGAAGAATATTAGTAAGGCCTTACAAATCCGTGCAGAAGTAAGCACGTACACGCGATCATCAAAAGTCAGACATTTAGTCCAGCAGATCAGCAATAAGATCTCTTGTGTGGAGAATGTGGTTTCCTTTCTTAGCAGCTTATGCGAGCACTGTTTACGCTGTATACAGATGCGTACATTTTGAATGGGGTCAAAGAGGAGACTCGTCGTTTTACCTGCTCGCGTTTCTTTACATGCAAAAGTGGCGCAACGTATAGGCTGATAACGAGCAGCATAAACCGCAGCGGGTCGACTACCAAGCACTACGCTGCATTCACGTGAAATATATATAAAATTCATGGCTATGAGAACTACCTGTTTTGCGCAGCAAGTTCTTGCGTAATGCTTGGGACAGCGGATTTGTATTAATATGTCATATTCCTATAAGCCAAGGGTTCACACTGAAGATAAAATGACGTACAGAAACCTTTTACAAATTTTAAAGGAACACGGCCTCCAACAGATATATACTCACACCGAATAAAGATGGAATTCAAAGACTTATTTCTCGTTCATCGCTTACAAAGATTATTTTAAGGCTCATACTACATCTTACTCTCCTCTGTTAGCTATTTCGATCGCAAATCTTACCTATATATGTGCAAATCTTACACATACAACTACTGTCCGTCTATACACATGAAAACTGCGTCGACGTTAAAATATAGCTAATTTGCTGTATCAATTGTTATATTTAACGCCTGAATCTAATGCATTAAAGTGTATTTGGGACATTCAGGCGTATGCTTTGGAAGACATTCACAGCGCTTGAAACTTACGCGGGGTAATGCGTTTAGTTTTGCAAATCCATTGTAAATAGTATGGTGCAGCGATCATTTCCCTCAACATAAATCAAATACTTTGATACAATATTCGGCGTTATAAGAAAATGTGAACTGGCTCAACCATAATGTTCTTACCTTGGCGATCACTGCAAATGGAGATAATTCAGATATGGTAAGTTAACTAGCTTGTTTTGCTTTTGTCACCCATCTTGGAGTCTCGTTTTGCTTTCATTTCTGTACATTCACTAGACTGTCATCGGTGTAAATGACATCTCATTTGGCCAATCATAAGCGGCCCGATTTACAAAAAAATATGTGGATGACCAATCAGAAAGGGACGTTGGTTCTGTTTTTATAGCTGTCAGTAGCACAGCGCAAAACGCATTTACTGTCAAAATTTCTAACCCTTTGTCTTCGGACGTCACCATTATTATTAACGATGTCATAATGCATAAAATGTATATGTTGCATGAAAAAATGTGTGTTTACATGTGTGGGCCTCAAACCTTGGAAGTTTGTTTGTCTATCCAAGAACTCTTAAAGTCAGGGGAATATGATTCATAACAGATACCATACAGCAAATAGCAAAATATATAACTATTAAATAAAACTACAGATATAATTAGTATGAGAAGAAGCTCTTTTAAAAGAAGTAAATTAGATATATATCACAAAATACATAAATAATTGTAGATATAAAATAATCGATTTAAAATAATTTATTTTACAAAGGGCTGATGGCACAAGAATAGGAATGAATAAATGTGTTATGCCGATTTTATATTTATGTCAAGAAGACATCAAATTATAACAATTTATAATAGTTCTGATAGGAGACTAGTCGGAAGATGTGTTTAAAAATAGATTTTTTTGTATATGATTTTGCGCCAAATACTGCAACGCTTTATGAGTACTGCAGGCTTCCGTAGCGGATCAGCGTTCTCATGCTCATTTTTCTGAAGGCGAAGAATTTACTTCAACTGGAACACAGTAAGTGCAATATGGCAGGGTTGTGCTTACTGTTCTTTGACAAAACGTTTTAAAAGCTATACTTATTTTGGCTTTGTCGTGCTAGGCAGCAACATAGTAAATTCATCTGATTGCCATGATTATGGGTATAGTGGTGTTGAAGCATGGGTTTGACTATTTCCGATACGTTCTTTTGAGTTTAATTTGATAGCAAACAGTCATTATTGTTGACAATGTAACTACATCACAACAAAAATATAGACGGCTTTATCCTTGAGAAGCTATCTTAGCTAACTAGGTGGCATACACGTGGCATTAATTTATGCTGATTAGAGCACTTTGGAATCCATACTTTCAGTCATGCTCTTTGTAGTTGTTATAAGACAATAATGAAAGTTTTAAGCCTAACTGCATAACCCGTTGATCGCGATCGACTGGTCGATCTCGAGATGGTTAATGGATAATTCAGTATTTCATTGGTGGCCAGCCGGTCGATCGCGATCGGCAAAATGTACCAAGGGGACCTCCGCCCCCTCTGTCGGGGCAAAATACAGCTTTGGAAAAGATTAAGAGACCATTCCATATTTTTAAGAATCTGCATTGTTAAATCCTGATTTAATCCTGGTTCTGCTGACAGAACGCTACACTGGGCAGCAGGTTCCTTCCAGGCTCAAAGTTTCTATGACATCAGTACGCATGAACAAAACGAAGCAGGAGACACTGGGAACGACCAGAAACCAGCCAGGTAGAGGGTAGAGATGACTGTCCATCCATCCATCCATCCATTATCTACCGCTTGTCCGGGGTTCGGGTCGCGGGGGTAGCAGCTTCAGGAGAGACACCCAGACCTCCCTCTCCCCAGCTACCTCTACCAGCTCCTCGGGGAGGACACCGAGGCGTTCCCAGGCTAGCCGAGAGATATAATCCCTCCAGCGAGTCCTGGGCCTGCCCCGGGGCCTCCTCCCTGTAGGACATGCACGGAAAACCTCTCCGGGTAGCCGCCCAGGAGGCATCCGCACCAGATGTCCAAACGACCTCAACTGGCTCCTTTCGACGTGAAGAAGCAGCGGTTCTACTCTGAGGCCCTCCCGGATATCCGCACTTCTCACCCTATCTCTAAGGGAGAGCCCAGACACCCTGCGGAGAAACCTCATTTCGGCCGCTTGTATTCGTGATCTCGTTCTTTCGGTCACTACCCATAGCTGATGACCATAGGTGAGGGTATGACTGTCAGCTTATCCAATTGTGCCTCATTAATTGGAGGATGACCTCAAGTGACCTTCAAAAAGAATGAGAAACATTAAGTGGCGTTAAGTGCACTGCTAGGACAGTTCATAACAGGCTTCTAGAAGCGGGACTGAAGACCCATAAGGCAAGGAAGAAGACCTGTATCAGTAAGAGGAGTTTACAAAAAAAATCTATATTTTACCCAGAAGCATACCTATAAATTGTGAAATTGGAAAAAAATTCTGTGGTCTCTTAATTTTTTCCAGAGCTGAATATCGTCACCATTCTGTAGCTCGTTGGGGAATTTTCTATGTAAAAGTAGCTCTCACTTTAAAAAAAAGGTTGTGTACCCCTGGTGTAATTGCTGAAAATCACAGTAACGGCAGCACGCCGAGGCGAAAAGCGATGCCGTAATATCCAGCCTTGTGGTTTGTATTTTTCTGTTTTCTAAGGTGCGTCGATCTACACAATGACGGCACTTCCAGAGCACCGCTCTGTGTTTGACTGCTTTCAGGACACGACTCTCCTTCAGGGTTTGGAGGAGGTGACGACAGTTCAGGTCGTTACCCCTCTGCCCACCGGAACGGGGTCTCACCGGCAAGGTGCGAGTTGGGCTACTTGGAGCTGATCCCAATCGCCGCTTTCTTTTACGCCTTTTCACATTTCCGCTCCTGCTGTGCCATGGGAAATGTTAGATGTCTCTTGAAGCAGGACTCCATTAGCAGCGGTCACAGTAACCTGTTTATAAATTTTGTCTCACTCAGCAGGGGTAAGCTCCTTAGACAGAAGCCCTCATGGAGAGGTGTCCGACAAAATGTTCTGCTCTGCTTGTCAGTGTCCCTTTGACAGTCGGGAGGAACAGGTGAGGGTCTGCACCGGGATGGCTTACGGCAAGCCGCAAAATAACCAGGAGCAATATTGTTATATATTTATATGTTCTCAAATCTTTGTGCAAAGTGATAGTTGCAGTTGTACTCTGTGTATGAAGCAGGATATTTTGACGGAAGCTGTTCAGTTGAGTACCTGCCTTGTTTGAAGGGTGCATTTGTTTTTATTAAGTTGTTTCCTACTTTGTGATTATTTGTGATAAAACATTAGGTAATGCATTCCACTGCGTAGCTGTAGTTGCTTTTTTGACGAAGGTGCTACGGAGATTGTGTTTCACTGTGAAGGGTTGTGTTCTGATTGGCAGACGGAGCACTACAAACTGGACTGGCACCGTTTTAACCTGAGGCAGAGACTGGCGGGCCGCAGCCCCGTCACAGTGGAGGACTTTGAGAGGAAGACGGGGACAGGTGAGGGACAGGACGGGGGGGGCCCATGAGGGGCAGTATAGTTACGCAGTAGCTCTATCTGGGACGGCCACCCCATTGGCTGCTGGCAGGCGGCTTCCCAGTGTCTACCTCTGCTGTCCCCACAGGCGATGTGTCCAGCATCTCTGGCTCAGACTCTGAGGAAGATGCTTCTGACAGTGACTGGGGTCTCCGTGGCGACGAGGACTCAGCCCCGGCGGAGGCAGAGAGCCCATCCGAGACTGAGGCCCGCTGTGGCCGCCTGGCCTGCAAGGCGCTTTTCCGGAACTTGCACGGACAGTATCTGTCGGTGTTTCGCTGCGTGCTGTGCAGCAAAAAGGTGCGTTTCCAGTGGGTCCTGGGGGGCTTCGATTAGGGCAGGGGTGGCCAATCTTATCCGCAAAGGGCCGGTGTGTATGAGGGTTTTCGCTGCAACTCCATAATCAAATTACTAATTAGAGGACTGATTGGCTGAAGAGTCCTCACACCTGGGTTTGAACAGCTGACCTACAGGTTATCCCAAAAACCTGCCTATACACCGGCCCTTTGCGGGTAAGATTGGCCACCCCTGGTTTAGGGCATATGGAGGGTCAGCTCTGGCCTTTGTGTTCCAGACGGACTCGAGCGAGGTAGACCTCACAGCCTCCCTTCTGAACATCAGCTGCAAGTCAGTCTGGGTCATTCTCATGACGGGAGGGGGGCACTTTGCTGGGGCCGTTTTTCAAGGGTGAGTTAAGCCTGTCGGTGTTCATCTTCCCTTATCTCGTGTGCGAGCCCTCACGCTTGCTGTCCTCTGGTAAAGGAAGGAGATCCTGCAGCACAAGACCTTCCACCGGTACACGGTTCGAGCCAAGCGGGGCACGGCCCAGGGGCTGCGGGATTCTCAGAACCACAGCCACGCGCCCAGGTCGGCTGGCGCGGCTCTGCGGCGGTACAATGAGGCTGCGCTCGTGAAGGTAGAAATAATCTTGGAACTGTCCCACACAGACCACTGTCCATGCAGTTCAGGAGATGTTGAACTATCCACTGGTTAAGTCCTATTGCTTGAGAGAGAGCAGCCAGCCATCTTATTATGGGAAAATGTTAGTTTCATTTGACTGCATGATGTTAGCACTGGGCTTTCATGACAGGATGTCCCGTTTAACCTTTGACCTTTGTGACCTCCGCTTCCCAGGATGTGCAGGACCTACTAGAGGGCTGGTCCGAGCATCTCCGCGAGGCCAGTGTCATCTTCCTGCGCGTTCCCAGCTACAGCAGGACGATGTTCTTTGGAGGTCGTCAGGCCCCCCTGGACAAGAGCGACCCTCGTGTCCGCACGGTTCCGTTTGCTACCCGTCGGGCCACCTTCTGCGAGATCAGGCGGGTGCATGACTGCCTTTCCACGCTGCACATCTACGGTAAGGCTGCATGCTCCTCTGGCCCAACGGTCTTAAGGTAGAGACGAACGATGATCTTGGGCAGCACTGATGACCAATATTTAAACTTGGCAACTATACTAAGAAGAGATCTATACTATACTATACTATACTATACTATACTAAGAAGAGATCTCAAATATTGGCCCTTGAGACGGTTTTAATTAATTTTTTTTTATTAATTTAAAAGCTTCTCCCCTGGAAGAGTTTAGCTGGTTATCAATTTCAATGTTATGAAAAAATATTTCCAATATTTGTATCAAAATTTCCATGTTGGTGTCACTGCTCTGCTCTCGTACATGAGAGGCGTTACTGAGACATGCCACTAAACCAAGCGCTCACCTCTAAC